TAGATTCCGTTAGTCTGGCAGTTTAGTGAGCCACGAATACATACAAAGACCAGTTTTGGGCTTTAGCGATGCCAGACGAAGTGCCGTTACGTAGTTTATGAATGCTATGGAAACCACGATTTTTTCCTTAAAGTTGAAAATTATATTAAAAGTTAGAAGATAACCAAATGACTTTAACTAAACAGCGGACGGACGGGTACAGTTGAACTAATGACAAGCTGAGTAACTGTCATAAAACCATATTTGCAATAAAGTCATAAAAAATATATATTTACTCCTTCGAACTGCGGCAACAACAACTTTTTTTTTTTTTGCCTCTGTTCCATTGTTTTTGCTTTTTCACTTCTGTTTTTGGTTGTTTTTGGGTTTGCTCAAGTAATAAAAGCAAAAGCTTTTGGGTCACACATGCGAAAAAGCCATAAAATATGGTGCTTGCATGCAAACACACATATCAATAGGCACACACAAACACATACACACATACACCGACACGTAACAAATCACATTAGACGCCCACCCAGCGCTACAAGCAGCAACAACAACAAATACTTGAGCTTATTTCGAATTACGCGGTACGAAGTAGGCGGCAAGGCACACATGCTTGTGGATGTGTGTGTGTGTGTAAATATGAAATATGGCGCGCCGAGTAAATGCAGAGTGAAACAATACATTACACTGGTGCTGAATATAATGCGAAAACACACACACATATGCAGGTGCATGAGTACATGGGTGTATGGCGCCTGTGTGCCTCAGGCATAATAAATGTTTATGCATCTCTATATGCATATATGTGCGTGTGTGTGTGTGTGATTGTGCGCAAACATTGCAAATCATGTCCGCTGCGCTGCTCGCTGACCACATGCACTCCGCCAAAGTCACAATGACGAATAACGGTACAACAAAAATGGCGCCGCCAACAGCAATGGCAATGGCGGCAGCTGCGGCTGTGGCGGTGGCAACAACAATGCGGTCAGCCATTAGTGGACGCTTAAAATGCAATCAAATTCGATTAATTTGCGAAAATCATTAAAAATGCATACACTGCTTGCGTGTGTGTGTGTGTGTGACGAGTGGTGCTAAGTCGCAGCGCAACAATGGTTGACCCATGTAAATATATATGTAAAAACTAAATTTATGCATACATCCACGTGCATATAAATCACTGATTGGCGAAAATGTTGCGCAACAATTAGCGGAGCCACACAATAGCTACATGTGTACATACATTAGGGTGTGCATTGCTTCACAAGTTGATTGTTTTTTGCATATACGCCTTGAATTTCAAGTTTTTGACCTAAAAACAAGGTTGCAATATAACCAAGCTAATTATTGCACACCAAACAGGGGATGTTAAATTGTTTGGAACATCCAGTAGGAAATGTCGTGAGTGGAAGTAGTCCTTGAGTTTCTTTATATATCGCTCTCAAATGTTACGTAAGTCCATTTCCCTCCGAAAGAACTTTCTTTTTTGTCGGAACCGCCTATATTGGAGAACCATACCATAAACCTTGTAAGGATAACTTTTTTATTTGACGATAGGTTTTCACGAAATTTCACAGGAATAAAATTTTCAGATCGTACGACTATAGCATATATGTAGCTGTTATAGAAACTGAACGATAAAATCGAAGTCCTCGTGCGGAAACCTTTTTTATTTGACAAGATATCTTCACGAAATTTTGTACATATAATTTTTAATAGCAATGCTGAATTGTGCGAAGAAATTTTTCAGATCGGACCACTATATCATATAGCTGCCATACAAACTGACCGATCAAAACCAAGTCATTATAAGGAAAACTATTTTATTTGATGAGATATCTTAATGAAATTTGACACAAATTATTACCTAAAGCAATTCTACAATATCCGAAAAAAAAAATTAGATCGGACTACGATATAATATAGCTGCCATACAAACTGACCGATCAAAACTAAGATCTTGTATAGAAAGTTTCTTATTTGACGAGATATCTGCATGAAATTCGCCAGGGATAAGTGTTTAAAGCAAAGCTATAATCTTCAAGGTTATTATTCAGATAGTATCACTATAGCATATACCCTTCATGCAAACTGATCGATAGAAACTAAGTTCTTGTATGGAAAACTTGTTTATTTCACGAGATATCTCTACGAAATTTGACACACATTATTATCTAAACCAATTCTATACTATCTGAAGAAATTTTCCAGATTGGTCTACTATATCATATGGCTACCATACAAACTGCCCGATCAAAACTAAGTTTTTGTATGCAAAGTTTTTTATTTTTTTTGTCAATACTATTCTAGTTTCGGTGCGGTAGAAGTTAACATGTTTTATTATTTTCAATTTAATTAGGCACGTTTTAAATATTTTATACTGCTCTTCCCATATACATACATTCATGTATGACGTGGGAATTATTAATGTTTTGGCTTGAACAAGTATATATACAACTTGGAAAATGCGATATTTTAAAACAAAATTGTCTGCTGTACAAAAAAGCTGGTCCTGATTTTTCCATAAAAATATTCCTTTAGAAATTACATGCGGCTAAACCGACACATGAAATGTATTGAACATTCATATACATAACTGCCTCATACATTCTGTGTTGCTCATACGACGTGGTGTACTCTAAGAACACTTTAAAGTGCATGGTTTTATGTTTCGGAGATAAGAAATTTAATTCAAGCTAAATACATAGGAAAAGAAGTACAATATAAGCACGCTGTAAATGAAAAACAAAGAGCTCATACATTCTGTGTTACTCATACGACATGGTGTACCCTATGAATACATTACATTTGATGGAAAATTTTAGCTGCGTCTAATTAAAAAAAAACAATGCGTTTTCGATAATAATTATTATGATTATATATTTTTTGTAGAACGGTAAATTTTGTACTAGAATATATATTTTTTAGAGTGTAAGGTTTGATGTTTCGAGGACAAAAGTTTTAGTAGGAAAGGTCTGAAAATCCAAACTAGTTACATAGGAAAAGAAATATAATCTAAGCACGGTGAAAATTTAAAATAAAACGCTTTTTTGCATTAGATGATTTTTTTTTTCGAAGGCAAAAATCAAAAATGGCTTCAAAAAAATCAACCACAGAAATTACGTCTCCCCTAATGTATATTATACATATACATACAAGTTTAATATTTGTACCACGTTAGTGACCGCCATCGGCAGGAGTTAGGACAACAGCAAACAATTTGCTACGAGACAACAACAAGCCTGCATGCGGCTGTTAGTAAGTTACGCCCACTTTTGGGGGAGGCGGTTCACATGACGGCTTGACTCTTGACTCTTGACTGAGCCTAATTGCTACGGAAAAACTACTGAATGTCATCATTTTTAATATTGTAAAATTGAGGTTAAGTGCCTTTGTTGTATTATGTGCGTTTATATGCATACTACATAGATATACAAACAAATATATGGACTGCACTTAAGTGTATGGATTTTTAATTAAGTAGCAAAAATAAATAAATTAATAATTAAAGAGGGGCAAATACACACACACACAAATACACACAAATATCTTTGTGTATGTGTATGGAAATGAGTTCAGTTATAACTCTTGCATATATCTATATATGTATATAGTCATGCAGCGGCCATATCCATAATTACTGTTAATACTGAAATAAGTAAATAAATAAATCAAATTGGTTGCTCTTGGCAGCTCAAAGTAACTGTAGCATAAGAACAGTTAATTAATTATAAGTGATTTTCTTGTGCGATTAACGGGGTATTTAGTGATATTAGACCCCTATATAATAATAAAACTGTGTATGCGACAATATTTATGGACGCTTATTAATTATATTTAATATTGCATACTTTAAGGCGCATTAAATGCATTTTATATATAAATTTACTTTATTTCATTTTCATTTGAGACTTTTTTGCAATCTGAGTTATGGTTTAATAATTGTAAAAAATATAAGATTTTTTAAATTTTTTCACAGGCCGAACTGTTATTCAAATGTGACATAACCTCACTTCTCATAGCATATATATACATATTGTCCAAGTCCAAATTATTCAATTAGATGTAATGGTGACTCACGGAGTACGTGTGGATTGCTGTCTGACCAATAACGCATATTTTGCTTATTGACGAGCCATTCCGCCAGAAATGAGCATCATCGCTGAAGAGTTTGTTGGAAGAGTTGGAAAGAGTTTGTTTGTTTTTGTCTGAAGAAGTTGTCGCTCAGCCCAATTCGCGAACATGTGACGATTCTGTTGGTCAAACGGCTTCAGTTCTTGCATCAATTTGATCATATAGAGATGTAAACGAAGATCTTTCCCAAAATTCGCCACAACGGCGAGACAGGGATACCCAACGCTTGAGAACGACGTGTGATAGACTGATTTGGGTCTTCCTCAATTGATGCGCCAGCGGCAGCAATATTATGGACACTTCTTTGTCCCACCGAGGCGGGAGCATTTTTTACTGTGCCTGTGGATTCAAATTTGTCTACTATTTTTTACTTATGCCGACCATTGGACATAGCGCTCTTAAATTTGATTCCAGTGACTCCGAATTTCGGTAGTAAATTTTAATAATTTCGACTCGTTGTTGGATCGCATATCTTTCCCTGATAAAATGAAAAACTTTACTGAAGAGAAATATCAAAAGAGCGGGGAAAATATGGCGTCGTTTGCTGTCTTTATTGGTCTAGTTTTGTACACCGATTTACAAACTTCAACACATATCGGCTAATATGTGTGCTATGTTACTAAAATCTAGAAAGCATGTTATAGCGAAAACACGAAACGGTGCATACTTGTGCTTAGAACGAATGAAATCGGGTGAAAAGTCGCCCTAGACCACTAATAACTTACAGGTACCTGAACGTATTTCCCAGACTTTCAAGTCATAAGTCAATGTAATGTTTCTTTTTCAAAAAGACTTCAAAAATACATCCCTGATCTAAACATACATATCTAAAAAATAAATTTACAAAAATATTCTCCACTCTTCTCCGCAAATTTAAATACCTGCATCTTCAACATCTTCCTTTAGATCAGGCCGACACGTTCGACCTTCCAGCATCTTACCTGCAGTGCATATGTCTATGAACACGGAACACATTTGGTGCCTACGCCACCACTTGGTAGCTTTAAATTTGGCCAACGAATATAAAAATTCTCACGAAAATATGGCAAGCACGAAGTGGAAACCAAGTACACGGCATTAAAATGCGACTTGAGGCAGAGGCAGAGGCGAAGGCAGAGGAAGAGGAAGAGGAAGAGGAAAAAGCCAAACAAATATGTGTATAAAAATGAAATAAAATGAAAATGCGAAGAATATAAAGTAGAGTTGAAGGATTTCCATTGTGAACGTGATTGAAAATTGGGGTCAGCTTTCCTTGTTGACTGCCCGGCCGTTGTCACCAGGCAGGCAGCCTTCGTCGAGTTGACAAAATGTTGATGCGCCGTCAATGCAGTCGCTAGAGTGTATTCAACACTGGTGCCACCGAAATGACGATACCGCCTCGTCGCTCACTCCACCGAGGACGCAAACTGTCGCCATTTTACCATCACTGAGCTGCTGACTTTTCGACGCTTTCACCAAGTCAATTTGCGCACGAACTCAAGTCGGTCCATGCTGCTGGCGCTAACTGGCACGTCGCCTTGTGCATTGTGGCACCTCTGCGCCAACTCCGCACCGCTGTATGGAGCTGCTTTTAAATGTATTTCATTTTAAAGCCCACCTCAAAAGCAATAACAACAGCAATGGCGTAAACTCGCATGAGAACGACTCCGTTCGTTTGCGCGTTGCCCGGCGTTGTGTCCCTTATTTTGCCGCCGTCCTCGCATTTCAATTCATTTTGTCTTCATACCATTGCCAGTCTATGGGATTATATCGAAATGGAAGTTATTTTGGTAGCCAGTCGGAATTGTTAAAATATTATTGTTGCAATTTAAGCTCGACATAACGATGACGGTCAGTCTCCACCGCTGCCTCGAAAAGTTTCGTTACCATTGCGATGTTGTTTGGCTGGTAGCAAAGCGTGGGTGTGTGTTGGAGTTGCGAAATGTGGGACCGGCACGTTCTGTAAAATAAATTGTAATTTTATGCGTTTCTTTCGGGTGATTTTTTTTTACATTTTTTGTTGTTGTTGGTTTGCAAATAATTCGATTTAATGGACTGATTCTGTCGGCTTGGTCATTAAGAGGCAATAATTTGTTAAATTGTGGAGCATATTTGAGCTTAAATGAATGGCATTTGAACATAACTAATAGCCTTGCTTCCATGTTTGACCATAAAAAATCGTCATTTGTTCGAAAATGTTACAAAATTATAGCGCTCCATATCGTCATATTCAAATATCCCCCAAGCTCCGAAACATAAAAGTCATATGAGCACAAAGCAGGTTTCGTAAGAACGCCGGTAATAGACCAATACATTCGGTTCCGCCGACAGTCGGACTCGAGACGGACAGCGTCTTTCGTCTATATAAGGCTTGTCAACCCGACAGCAAACCGAAAATAATGTTTGAAGAAAGTTGTTCTCCTCTACAAAAATAACCAATACTCAGAATAAAGTTAAATAAGTGAAGATCGTAGAATTTTTTTAAAACAACTCGTCATCTTCAGTCATGTGTGTCAGCCGACCTCATTTCATACACCCGGAAGTCAACTTTGGTTAGATAGAAGATGCTCGGATCGAACGAACTACATTTATTGCTGAATACTGTTTTGAATTGAAAATGATAGTCTTCTTCTTCTTTTTTTTATTTGCGTAGATACCGCTTACGGGGTTATAGCCGAGTTTACAGCAACGCGTATACTGTTTTCTGTTCTATTCTCTTCTTCTCATGCGGGTGTTTTTTACGTGACGGGTCTCAAACCCAGCGCGCAGCCCTGGGGAGGGATGTTTTGCCTTCACACTTTAGCTCGCCTTCAAATGGATGTCTTGTGGTTACCCAAACCGGAGTCGTAAGCTTCTTGAGCTGTATGTAAGCGAATCGTTTCTGGCCAACTCTAAAAGAATGGCGCTAAGAAAGCCTTCCACACTGCGTGAACTTCTACACATGATTCCATCCTCCTGATAAGCTATTCACCTTAAGGGGTTACACGGGTTTCCTTGGGCAAAAAACGGCCTTTTTCAATAATTTTTTTTTACATACAAAAAATGAAATATTTTAAAGAAGTTGTTTTTTATTTAAAAGACCCATATTTAATACACATTTGTTAAATTTTCAAAAAAAAAAAAAATATCAAAATGGCCGTCATTACGACGTCATTTCCGGCAGTCCCTCGGAAAAAAGATGCATCTGCGTTGTCATCAGAACTTCTTTCAGGATCATCTCAAATAAAAATGAAAAATACGTGTTTTAGTAAAGACCATAAACTAGGTATTGGACGAAGGAAAACAAAAAAAAAATTAAAATTGGATTTTGGCAGACGTTTTTATAAAAAAATGAAATTTCGATGAAAATTTCTCGAATTTTTTTTTTAAATAGTTGTAATTAAAAAAATCCTTCGTTCAAGACCTTGTAAATGATATCTCGAAAACCTTTGTAAAATTTCATCAAGATCGGTTAAGTAGTTCGCGAGAAATCTTGACAACTGACTTTGAAAACATAGTTTTGAGAAAAACGCGCTTAAAGTTTTACCTACTGCGCCCTCAGCCTATACCTGACCTCGAGCGTCCACCTTTTCAAGATTGTATCTCCGAAACTATTAGTGGGATCAACTTGAAAATTTAGGACAGTATTCTAGAGATGTTATAGAATTTAATAAAACAAGAATTTAAAGTCTTGACAAACGGAACCACTTAGAACTCTTACAACTAGGAGAAAGGTGACCTTACTGACGACGAAGAGCTTACATCACCTCCACTTCGGCCACTTAGGCCAAAAGAATCTTTCAACGCCCAAGTACTATTGCTGCCCATCGCTGATTCTCGCGAAACCTCAGCTATCCTGTGGAAGAACACACACATAGAGAGCCGATCACCGACTCGTTCCCGTTTCACTGATAGCGGGGTTAGCGTACCTCTCCTTGCCAGCTCTTCAGCTTTTGTACTTAACTGCGACTCCGACATGGCATAAAAATCTTATCAAAAAAGTACCCCGTTCCTAAGCAAGCGGCTTCGAATAGTGGCTCCATCCTCTACGCCGATAAAGAAGAAGAAGAAGAAGAGAATTCCATCTTGTTCAGAAACAATTTTTGTTGGATATTTTGGTCTTAAGCCTAGCTAAAAAGGCTGCTGTCTGCTGGTTGGGTGACAAAATTGCCAGCTTCCCATTATGAAGGCTTTACAAGTGGTTTTACTGGTTGCGGAACTCAACCTAAGAGAATGTATAATGATAAACTTTTCATGAGAATTACACCTACTTAGACCATATTTCCAACCAGCAGTGAAGCGTACCATATCTTTAAGAAAATCCAAACTTATGGAAAGACTAAGTTGATAGAGATCATGAGACCAGATAGAAGAAGACCTGAAAAATTATGAAACTTATGCTCGATGGTTAGGGTGGAGCATAGGAATGAATGAAAATATTGGATGTTACTTTCGATCCGTTTCCGCGACAGGACGGTCTAAATAACCGCAAGCGAACCGGTCTGTAAACTCGGCACTGAATATTTTCTGCCGTTACAACAACAACACTTTACTTCTGGGGACCGGTTCTGGTAGTGGTAAAGGTAAAGGGTTCGTCCGGAAAATAATAGAACTAAGCCGATTTAAAAAAAAAAATATTGAACCAATCGTTACAATTCGTGATTTCCAAGCAATGAAGGTGTCACGGAAGGCATTCTCCGGAATAGCCTTGAGAGCCGAGGTACATGCTGTTTGGATGCCCTCTATCATCGTTTCTTCAGGCTAGGAAACAAAACAGGTCCGGGAGGCCACATCTAGGTTTGATGGCGGCTGCGGGACTGGTGGGATGTCGGCCATGGTTAGGTAGCTGGCACGAAACGAACACGAAAGACGGTGTGAGCCTTGGCATTGTCGTGGTGCAACTTCCAATCAGCTGCGATGTATTATAGTCCTTATTATTGCCTTAAAAGTAGAAAAGCTTTCCAAAATTGAAAAAAAAAGTTTCCAGAAATCAATTATTTAAAGACGGCGCTTATCTGATAATCGAAGGAGCTCAAACTTAACTCCAAATTCAACTTTCTAAGCCATGTCTTTGTCAAATAAAATTTTTCTCCCTCTAAATTAATAGTACCACTTTCTTTTTTTGTTACCCTTTCTTTTTGTATCATTATTTTGTGTCGCCTAACCTCTCGCCGCATCGCCCGAAATGTCACACTTTGGCCACGTCATTTGTCATCACCAAAGTCGAAAGTTTCGCAATTGAGCTGCCACAACCCGAGCCCGACACCGAGCAACAGGTTGGCAAACAATTTTTAATTGCTAAATAAAACTTTTGAAAAGTGCGCACACAACAACAACAACTGGAAACGAAGTAGTGATATAAAAACTCATAAAGAATGTGGTGTATAAGAAACCGCTGGCGTTAAAGAAGAGACGCTGTACAAACCGGAAGCCAGCGAATGCATAAAAAATAATTTACAATTACACAGCGACCGTTTCATTACACCTAACAAGCTGTGAAAGTATCCGACCGCCCGTCCGTGCGTCCGCAGATGACCGTGCAACACATTGTAGCACAATGGGGCTGGCTGCCGCATTTGCCGCTCGCTTAAATTGCACCACAAGTGCTCGAGTGCAGCGAGTCCTTGAGGTGCGTTCCGCGCCATTAAAAAGTTTACCTAACTTTCGGCCCACAACGCATACCACCTAACGGCCAATCGGCTCCGTGCACCGGCGCTGGAAGCCGGCTGATGAAGTGCCGCCACTTTTCGCGTACTCTTTGTTTCAACAACAGCTGCTGCGAGTGGGAGTGTATGTGTTTGTGTGCATATAGCGCATTTATAACAGATTTTTCCGTTATGCAAGCAGACGAGTGCAAAAGTTCCTGCCCACCGCAACTCGCGCGCTGCACTTGTACTCAAAGCTCAGCCCTCCTGTCCATTCGGCTGTGTGTGCCGCCAATTGCCTACGCTCCGTTCCGCTCTTCTGCACACAAATGC